TCCATATATACCCTCGGTGTTTCCCTCACGAGCCACTTCTCCCATTTGAACAATTCCATCATCCATGGCAACGGGAAACAGAAAACGGATACGAGCGAGTGAGAGAGTGAAAAGGGTGATGAAGAAAGACAAGGAGAATACTCAACTAATCAAGAAGAAACACAACTAGTATATAGCTGGGAAAAAACATAGGGAAAAGGGTAGAAAAAAAAAATGAAAAAAATTCATTAATCCACACCAAATATTTGTACACCAATATTATAATAAATAAATAAAAAGCAAAATTAACAATTTTAACTTTTATTTTTCCTACATAATTACAAATTAATAAATTTTTGTTCCCATTTTTTTAAATGGAAAAACCTTTTTTTTTTTTTTTTTGAACATAGGGGAAATTTTAGGGAAAGGGGATTATAAGGCTTGGGATTTAAACCTAAGCCAATATGTCCACTACACTCCTTTAAGAGGGTGGCCACTAGACCACCAAGGAATGGACAAATAGAAAACCTTTTTTTTATAAGAAAAACAAAAGGTTTCATTATATGTGAAAAAGGGGTAACCGTTACCAAACCCATTTACATCCCTTTGTTTACATATTGGTCCACTAATTATATATATTGAATTAAATGTGTACTAATTATTTTTTTTTTTTGACAAACAAACAATGATTTATACATATTTTAATTTAATATATTGTATAACATCAGAATGCTCAATAATTACAAATTGAGTCTTCTTCTCCTTATCTGATTGGATACAAAACCCATCAGAATGCTTGAGGATTAATTGTGGTAGTAGGAAGGATGTGAGGAGAATGATGAATACCAGATTGGATACATAATCCCACAAGCTGCATGAAGATCAACTGTGGTAGTAAGAAAAATATTAAGAAATTTGCAATTGCTAGGTAGAATTGTGGAAGATAAATAGGGGCATCCAAATTTTTGGGTGGACAAAGCAACTTGGGTTTGACAAGTGGGCAGTTTTCGAGGATCAGAACAGTGATATATGAAGAAATTGCAAAAGACTACAGAAATCCGACATGAGTATAGTGTTGACACATAATTTTGATGTCGACACCATATGGTAAGCATCCAAAATTCCAACACGGCCGTGTGTTAACACATAATTCAGGGGTCGACACCATAAGGTAAGCATCCAAAACTCCAACACAGATGTAGTGCTGACACATAATTCAAGGATCGACACCATACGAAAGAGCTATTCCACTCATGTAATATGATGCCTTTTTAAGTTATAATATTTATGGGTTTGAGGTACCTCTTGTACTCCATTTATTAATAAATATTATTTTTTATTGTTCAAAAAAATATATATTATATAACAATACTTTTCAAAAAATCATTATTTCTTAATATGAAATTAAAAATAGATAAATTTAAAATTATTATTATGTATATAAAATGTAAAAACTGATTAAATTGATTTTAATTATATCATATTTTTAATGATTAAATTAAATGGTATCAAAAAGTGTATTGAACCGAATTTATACCAATTATTTTTCTTTTAACTTTAGCAGGTTTTTTCTTCCTCATAGCCTGATATCATCTATGTCAATATTTTTAACTGACTTTTCACTGCATTTTCAAAGCCTGACTCGGATCCTTCCTCTGAACTTCCAGCTGCATTTGTGGATTGCTTTTTGCTCTCAACTAGTGAAAGATCTGTACTTAATAAGCTCCAGTATCTCTGTTTCTTTGTCCTGCTCATCTCTAAATACCATTTGATTTCTCCATGTCCACAGTGTCCACAAAGTTGCATGCCAGACCACCACCCACGCATCTCTGCATTTTCGGTTTTAAACAATCCCTTCATGTTGCAAGAAATGATTTGCCACTCCTGTTTGCGTATTGTGGGACCCACTTGATATATTTTCTTAAAACCAACTTCTTACCAGTTGTGAAAATATTAACAAAGCCATCAAAACTTCAACAAAATTATATTCCTTCAATTTTCTCTATAAAATTGACTTTTGACCAAAAAGACCCTGAGAGATGTCCTCCACGTTCCCCCATCCCCAAGTTGCACCAAATCTAAAAATATATACAAACCTAAAATATTATACGTAGAAAAAAAATAAAATAAATTTTTAAAAAATAACACCTTAATTTCTTTAAAGGTAGGTTGATTTCATCCCGCTTCAATACAATTAGCCAAACAATTTTAGAAGGGACAATTAAGTACCGTGAATAGTAGTTCAAGAAAAGAGCTGACGAAAGAAATGTGGACGATGTTTCCACCCCCACCCCAAGAAAAAGGGGAATGTGGAGGATATATAGTTCCTATTCCCCCCATAATTTTACGGTGTCCCTTTGGCTCTTTCATCCACGATTTCCTTGAGGTTGATTAGTTGCACTTGGAGGAATAATTTGGGGGAAGAGTCATTCCTTCATAGCCTCTTTGGTGTGTTTGTTTATTTTTGTCAATTGTCCTCTAATATCTAATATATGTTTCAAATATGGGAACATATGGCTTCTTGTTTTATCTTGTTTCTGTACGCGCTTTTCCTTAGTCATAATTGCCCTAAGGGAAAACCGTATTATGGTGAGAGGTGTGTTATAGTTTGCACTTTTCTTCTAAGCCTAGTGCTGCTCCCCTTTTCCTCTTGGTTGACAAGGAATAAATCAATATGTCAGTTTTTATCAGTGTTGAACTTTTTTTTTTTTTTTTTTTTTTTTTTTTTTTTTTGGAGTATTAACTATTTGATAGCACAAAGATTTAAACTTTTAAATTTAATTTTAAATCAAAAATTTTAAATTAATAGGTACTAATTTATCCAAATTCTTATTGGCGTGTTGAACTTTTCTTGTCTAGTCTAAATGGTTCTTTCCTTTCTTGAAGTGCTTGTGACAGTCTCAAAAAGAAGAAAAAGTTCATGCACAATGTATTCCTTTAGTAGCAAGGATTTAGAGGATTAAGTGCGTTCTAGACCGTCTCCAATGAAGATAAAGAGGGTATTTGATAAAATTTAAAAAACATTTACTTTTAAAACACTATTTTTGTTTCACAAATTTATTTTTTTTATTTTTTGGATAATGTATTCCTTTGGTACCAAGGAATCAAAGCATTAAGTGTGTTCCTGGCAGTTTCCAATGAAGATAAAGAAAGTATTTGGTAAAATTTTAAAAATACTATTTTTTTTTTCTCAAATTTAAAATTTTGATAAAGAAAAATTTAAAAATTAATTTTTCAAATAAGTTTTAAGCAAGTTTTGAAAAGTCACATCAAGTTTTAAAAAAGTTAGATTATCTAAAATTTTTTAAATTTTATTTTAAAAGATAATTTTTGAATTTTTAAAATAAAATTGTAAATTTATCAGAAAAAAATAATATTTTTTAAAAAATAATTTTTAATTTTTATCAAACACCCTCAAAGTTGATATATTCCTTTGGTAGCAAGGATTCAAAGTCTTCAAAAGTAGTCTTTCCTTCTTCCTGCCAATCTCGCAAGAGAAACTACCGCTTTTTATCTTTATTGGGGTCAAGTGAATGGTTAACGGCAAATAAAATTTGTCTTGGCATCAATGGTTTTTTCCTCTCTTTTTTTTTTGGGCTTCTTTGAAGGCGTAAATTAACTAATGGTTCTTTTTTGGGCAGGCCTCTAATGAGGCCCAAACTAAAATCCAGGACCCTCCTCCAATGCTGCAGCTTGGGTTTGCTTTGACATGTTCTTCAATTTATGTTTTCAAATAAATCTAGAATCCGTGAAGTTTAGCTTAAGTTCGGCCCATGAGTTGGGATCTACTTTCCATTGCTTATTTTCAAAAAAAAAAAAAAAAAAGAGTTAGGATCTACTGGCAATTAGTACACTCACGTAATAATTAAACATTATGAACTCAGTTTAATACCACAGAATAGGAGTAAAAAAATATTGTACTTTTTTGAGTTTTTCCTATCCATGTTCAGTCTTTTATACTCATCAATATTGCTGCCGTTGAAGACCGTTGTGGACCTTTTCAACCCTTGAAATCCAGATCGTCTGGACAGTGGCAAACCATTCCAAGTCCCAAGATTTCAGACCTCATTTCACACAGATTAGACAAATCCTATTCATGAAATAGTGTTTTAAAAGACTTCAGCAGACATGCCTCTTTTTAAATTTGTGAAAGAAAAGATTTCAAAAAAAAAAAAGAAAAACACAAAAAGATTTCAGCAGATCTGTCTCTTTTTGTACACTCATATGCTGCACAAAAGCATCCCTACACACGAACCAGCAACCACAGAAACAGTCCCCCACCACCCAAAACACTTATACTGTACCAAACTGAGAGCCGAATCCTCTATTCATGTTACTCCTTCGTAAATAAACTGTCAGATGTCCTTTAGATAGGCATTCATTTCCGCATTTTCATTAGGTTGCGATCCGGACGAGATACATAGTTATACATAAGATATATACCAAGGAAGAAGAGAAACTTAAGCATCCATGACCATGAATTATGCTGTCATCGGCTATAGAGGTCAAAAATCTTAGGCCATAGCACAAAACCGAAGCCACCAGCGACATGAAAAGTGGAATCAAGCCTAATAGACATACAGAATGAGATTTGATGGCAATTGAGACCAAATCTTCTTTACCCCTTTGGGATTGGGTTCAAATTCGATTTTAGCGTAAGAATTTGTTGTATGTCCAAATTATATATTGCAGTTTTTTTTTTCTCGTGAGTCAGTTAAATTCTTTCTTGTTTTTGAGGTTTCATGGCATCACAGTTGGTTTCAATCATTCAATATTGCATCCATAAAATTAGAACATCTGACCTAGATAAGTCCAGCTTACATATTGCAGTTGTTTTCTTGTGAATCAGTTAAATTCTTTCTTGCTTCTAAGGTTTTCATGGCATCACAGTCGGTTTCAATCATTCAATATTGCATACATGAAATTAGAACATCGGACCTAACATAAGTTGATTCTAACTAAGATTCTTCAGAAAGATATTCATTGATTTCTGCATTTTTATCAGATTGGGAATAAAATAGACATGATCATATATAAGAGACAAAGGAAGAAGAGAAACTTTAGCATCCATGACCATGAAGGACGTCGTCGACAATAGAGTTCAAAAATCTTAGGCCATAACACAAAACCGAAGCCGATAGTAACAAGAAGAATAAAAGGAATCGAGCCCAATAGACATCTAGAAGGGGATATGATAGCAATTGAGAACAAGTAGCAGAGAATGAACAATAGGACCGGCAATGTAAGGAGGTTTATGTTTTCGTCAGGAAGGAGGTAAAACACTATGCACGTTGATGTCAAGAAGGTTGCAGTGTTTATAGCATAGAAGAATTTAAAGTATGCGGTACTCAATTCTAACGGACCGATAAAGTTGCTCGGCCAAAGACCTCCTGGTTGATTAAGACCTCCTGGTGGATTAAGGCAGGCGTGGTAGCTAGCTGTAAGAATCAGTGCAGCTACTACCAGCATAGTACTGCGCATGTCACTTGATATGTTGTTATTCTTACGAGCAAGATACCTTTGCAGTTTTTCAAAATATGAGCTTTCCGATCTCAAAGACTCTGCTAAGGTTTGACGTGCAAGGTTCTTCGCTTCCGATTTCAAATATCCAGCCCATCGTAGAGTTCGTGCAGTTTCTCTGACGTCAACCTGGCCTTCTAACATTTCCAGAGCTGTCCGACCATTCAAATTGGTCCCATTCTCGATGATTTTACATTTTAATAACAATTTTACCATCTGTTTAGTAGAAAATTAAAACAATCAGACGTTGCAATGGGACTAATATTGCACCTCAAATAAGAAGTATGTGGGATTGTGGACTTGGGCAAGCTAGCTTTTGGGGAGTTGGTTCTCCTAATTAAGCTAGCTTGTCCTATTCAGTTGATTTAGTTGAGAATCGAGATTGATCAAGCTCAAGTTTTTACTTCAAAAAGAAAAAAAGAAAAAAGAAATCTATATGAAAACTGAATTAGTGTGGATGAGATTATACCTTGGAATGATTATTTGATGCGGCTATATGCAAAACCGTGTTTCCTGCTCGATCCTTTTTGTTTACAACTTGTTTTTCCCAATCGTACCCGTCTTTGTGTGTTGTCTTTCGAAGCCAACAAATCAAGAGTTGGAGAGATTCAAAGTTGTTATATATAGCAGCAATGTGAAGAGCAGTCTGGCCTTGAATTGTCAAATCTGTGATGCATTCAGGGCATGCCTCCAGAAATTCGGCTAAAAGATTCAGGTTTCCCTTTTCTGCTGCAAGATGCAGAGAGGTCAAACCTCCTTTCCCTTTAACACGAACGAGAACTTTGTCGACTTTAAGGAGCTCGTGTATCACCAAATCTCTTTCATTTAGAAGGGCAAGATGCATGGGGCTGAACCCGGATGGGTTTAGTTTCCTTGCAAATGATGGCTTTAACATCATCATTTCCATAACAAAATCAATATGCCCTTCAGATGCAGCTATATGTAATGGAGTGTCAATAAAAGGCACTTCATCAATGCTCTCAAAAACAAATGGATTTTCCTGAATTAATGCATACAAGGCATCAACTTTTCCCGCTCGAGCAGCCTCCCACATTCTCTCATCCATGGTGATTTTGGGAGAAGAAACAGAAAATTAATGGATACACAGCACTATATTGGCCAAACAATTTCTTAAGGACAAGAAGGAACCCAACCAATCTATGAGCTGGAAAAATAAATTAGTGAAAAGGGTGATGAATGAATTGAGGAAAGGTTACTCTTATATAGGCAAGCTATAACTTGTTAAGTTGCTCCTTTTCTTCCTAGAAATTTCAATTTGGAAACCTCCCAGCGAGAGTGAGTAAGCTTCAACCCCATCTTCCTCCTAAACAAATGTGAGAAGAGATAGTTTGTCCGGTTATTTGATCTTAATTGTTAGTTGATTTTATCCCTCCACCATTCGATTTTCTCTTAATTAACCCTTATTCCCTTGTTAGCTGAAATGTGTAAGAGCAATGCTAAGGGCACTAGGCATATTTTTTCGAAATTGGCGTGAATTGCTACTTATTTAAAAATAATAGTAAAAAATGAAAAAATTTATTCCACACTGACATTTGAACTTCTCAATACTATAATAAATAATAAATTCATTTTAACTTTTTATTAAATATAAAAAATTAATAAATTTTAAAATTTTTTAATAAAATTTAATCTTTTTAATTTTCTTTATAAAATTAATTTTTAACCAAACAGGCTCCGAGATCAAGTTCTGGTAGTCTCACATCTCCCCATCCTCAGTTGTACCAATTTTAAAAAAATAAACAAACCTAAAATACTATATATTGCAAAAAATAAAAGAAAAAAAAAAACACTAAATACAGGTTGATTTCTGCCCGCACGCTTCAATATTGTTTGTTATTATTATTATTTTTTAACAGAGCTACATCATAAGGAATGGAAGAATGGAAGAATGAAAAGAATTTGAACTCGATCTCGAGTCTAATAAAAAACGTCATGAGCACCCAATGGCTCTACCCAGATCTTCTCGTTAAAGATTTCGTTGTTTTGATTGTATTCCCCAACCTGTTAAATATGTATTTGTTATTATTATTATTATTATTGGAAACAAAACAACGAGAAAGGAATGGAGATAAGAACTCGTACAATTTAAACATGCGTTTATGAAAAGTGATCCCTATTTGTATCAAGAATTGTGATCAATGGGTCACAGTATGGAGTTCATGCATTTTTTTTTTTTTTTTGATCAGCGAGTTCATGCATCTATTATTGATATCATTGGGGTCGAATTTCTCAAAATATGTTGATATACTTTTGTATTTAGGTTAATGGTATTTCATCCTTTCTTACCAAAAAAATAAAAAATAAAAAATTAGAAGGGATAGTTAAGGACCGTGATAATAATTGAAAAGAAGAGGTAAGGTGATAGTGGAAATGTGTGGAGGACATATAGTTTCTATTCCTCCCATAATTTTTCGGGGTCCCTCTAGCTCTTTCGTCCACAAAATTTCCCTCAAGTGGACTAATTAATGGAGATGCTGGGTCATTACCTATTTTCAAAAAAAAAAAAAAAAAGGGACTAAAAATAAGTCACATTTGGAATACAATTTCGACGAAGGTTACAGCTACCACACCATAAGAAAAGATCTGGCGCATGGGAGCTCATCACTGATCTCTCAACGCCATTATGATTCAGTCAAACGAAAGTAACGTAGGTTGAATAATTAATTAGGGGTTTGGCATATTTGTTGAACCGTGGTAGTTGGGTTGCATGAATTAATTATTGTCACGGTTCAGAATAATATCACTTAATTGACGTTACCTTGTTATTATCACAAGTCACATAAATATATATAGTTTTTTAGAAAATAAGATGCATCTAAAATTATATTAATAGTTTTAATTGAATCGATAATATGTAATAAAAACCTTAATTTATATTAAAATTTATGTTTATGTAGAAATAATTGTAATATTTCCTTTCTTTTTCTAAAAATTCACCTTGTTCAAAAAGAATAAAAAAAAGACGCACCCAAAACCAAACCTGTTTCTTTGGGGAGAAAGCCATTCCTTCATATGCTCTTAGGTGTGTTTTGCTTATATTTTGTTGGCAAAACAT